GGGCTCCCTGCCTCCCGCTCCGTGCCCACCACTTGAGTCCCGAGGTCCAGACGGAGGTAGCAGCCTGGAGGCCTCTGGGAACACACTGCGGTCCCCTACATGGTTGCCTCCCGGAAGTGTTCTGGAGCCGCCCAGCGCCGCGCGGCGGAGCTCAGCCCGGGTCTCGCGAAGCTGAGCGAGACTACGGAAGCCCCGAAGAGTCCGCGAGCCGGCGGGTAGGTCCTGAGCCGAGGACTCGGGATTCAAAGTAGCTCTGGGTCTAAGAAACCTTGCTGCGTCAAATTTACCTGGTGTCCTGAAGTTGAAATAGCCTGAGTTCTCATCTCGGGTAAATATTTTATTCTCATAGTTATTGAGGAACTTTTGACTGCCAGTGCCAAAACCTCAAACAAGGTGCAAAGGATTCTTCTCTTATTTTTCTCTGGATGAATCATTAGGTGCCTACGTTTAACCACAATAAAGCAGCTGCTCTGTGAAGGATTCCTGGTACACCAGGGGAGAAAAAAGGAACGACACTGAAGTTTATTAAGGAACTGGTGTCATGTTCTACATCTGTATCCTATTTATATTTAGTATTTCAAGAGCTATAAAACTTGAATGACTTTAATATGTAGACATAGGAATATGCCATTATAGTTTTATAGTAACTCATATATTTCGTTTAATATTAAAACAAAATTTGCTATATAGTACATGTGCTGGTGTACAGAAACAGAGAGAAAGTGAGAAAGCACCAGTCACTGGGACCAGCAGTTAGCATAAGGGCTATGTCGCTGGACTCCCACATAGTCGACCGTGATTTGCCTCCCGACCCGGTGGCTTCAACTCACGCCAGGCGCGTGTGCGTGTTTGCTCAAGATCCCGCGAGGAGAAGGGAGGAGAAGCCATTGTGGCATGGCCATCTTTTTTTTTTTTTTTTTATATATAAAGAAAGCACCAGTAATGGGGAATGGCCATGCTGCAGTCCCTTCCCCAGTTTTAGGGCATGGACCCACATGGTGCTCAGCATATTTTTCTTGCTACCATGTCTGGGACTTGAACCTTGCAGTTGGGCATGAGGAATCCAGTCTCTAACCACCATGCCACTGGCTGGTCCCTCTTTTTATTTCTTTAGTTTATCCAGATGATTGCTCAAAATAGAGTGCCCATAAGACTTACTATATAGTGTTGTGTACACAAAAGTCAATATTACTATACTTGGGGAAAATTCAAGTGATTTTCATAGGTAATTTTGATTTATTTTCCTTTATCTATTGACTTGAGAATCAAGTCACTATACCTCATTGTACTCTCCTTTGAGAGACTGAGGGAGAAGGCCTAAGAATCTCAATAGATGTCTCCCAGCTAGTGAGTTGATAGAGTTAGTACTCTGCTCTAGGTCTTAATTGCTCTTCACAGGCAGTGTTGCTGGATAGAGTATTTTATCAAGGTCAAACTAATTCTAATTTTGAGATAACAGGGCTTTGTTTTATCCTAATACGGTAAATTGGTGTGATTTAAATATGTGTTCAGTCTCCTCCTCTTGAACAGAAATAAATGTCAGAAGGTCTTTCCCCTTTCCAGCTATGTGTTTTGGAAAAAGTCAATTTGCCCTTCCTCATCTCACCACCTGTATAGGAGAGTCAGCCCAGAACATAATGCATGTTTCCTCACTATTTTGTGGAAAATCCAGGCAAACAGGTGAACAGTTTACTGAGCCTCAAGACAATGCCACAAAAATGAATACACGTTTAAAACAATATATTTCAAACCACTGTGACATATCAGGAAATGTCAATAAGTGGTACAGAATGATTTGTTTTAAGACATAACTAGAGAGAATGCCTGGGTGGAGGAGCTGAGGTCAGCATCAAATTGAAAATACTTAAAGTGGATACACAACTATTTCAGCAATGCAGACAATTAAGTGTGTCGTTGTGGGTGATGGTGCTGTTGGTAAAACATGTCTCCTGATAACCGACACAACAAACAAATTTCCATCTGAGTATGTACCATTTTTGACAACTATGCAGTCACAGTTATGATTGGTGGAGAGCCATATACTCTTGGGCTCTTTGATACTGCAGGGCAAGAGGATTATGACAGATTACGACCGCTGAGTTATCCACAAACAGATGTATTTCTAGTTTGCTTTTCAGTGGTTTCTCTGTCCTCATTTGAAAATATGAAAGAAAAGTGGGTGCCTGAGATTACTCATCACTGTCCAAAGACTCCTTTCTTGCTTATTGGAACTCAAATTGATCTCAGAGATGACCCCTCTACTATTGAGAAACTTGCCAAGAACAAACAGAAGCCTATCACTCCAGGGACTGCTGAAACCTGGCCCGTGACCTGAAGGCTGTCAAGTATGTGGAGTGTTCTGCACTCACACAGAAAGGCCTAAAGAATGTAATGAAGCAATACTGGCTGTTCTGGAGCCTCCAGAACCCAAGAAGAGTCGCAGGTGTGTGCTGCTATGAGCATCTCTCCAGAGCCCTTCTGCACAGCTGGTGTCGGCATCATACTAAAAGCAATGTTTAAATCAAACTAAAGATTAAAAATTAAAATTCGTTTTTGCAATAATGACAAATGCCCTGCACCTCCCCACATGCACTCATGGGAGACAAAGCCCATAGGTATGACCCCCCTCCCCCTTCTGATACTAGTTAATTTTGAGTAATTGTATATTGTCAGAAAAGTGATCAGTACTAGTCTTTGTTTTGTTGTTTCAAAAATATTTTTTGTTTTGTTTAAAAGCAAGGCATGCTTGTGATGACTCTGTAACAGACTAATCTGAATTGTTGAAGCTGCTCCCTGGTTCCACTCTGGAGAATAATCTGGGACATCTTTTTTTTTTTTCCTTCTTCCTTATTTATTTATTTATTTATTTTTGGGAGAGGTTTTATCACTATAGGGCACGTGGGCTCACCAGACAGACATAGAGACAGAAAGCAAGAAATCACCCCCCCCGCCGCAATCCCTTCTCCTCCATTCTCCTCTCGGGATCTTGGGCACGCACGCACATGCGCCCGGCGTGAGTTTTAAGCCACCGGGTCCGGGACGCAAACTGCAGTTGACTACGTGGGAGTCCAGCGACATAGCCATTACGCTAACTGCTGGTTCCCCGGGGGATTTTGTTTTTTAGTCTTGGTTTTTAAATTCATTAACCAGTAAACAGCCCTTAAGGGGAGGAGGATGGATCGATTCCACGTTCCACTTCCTAATTCTAGTTTAGAAAACATGGTCCCCACCTGGTGCTCTTAGGAAGGAGTATGGAAAATGCCTCATTTAATAACATACTCCTTTTTGAAAGTTGCCTTTTCTCTCCACCCTGGAGTAGATCCAGTATTTGATGAAACTCATGAGAGTGGGTGGAAACTGTCTTGCCCCTCCTCTTTCCTAGGATGCACTATATACATGACTGTGACTTTCAAGGAAATTCGTTTGCCATTTGCTGATTTTTTTGGAAGTTAATTTCTAACTTCTTTCACTGATAAGAAAAGTATTGCACCTTTTGAAATTCACCAAATGGATTGAGTTCGTAATTAAAAGACTTTTTTTTTTTTTCACGTCAGTCATTGCCTTATATGCTTAGCCTAGATTTGCAGCTCACTAGTGTATGATTCGGTGTTCCTAGAACACAGCCAAAGCCCTGGTATACAGACGAAATCCGAGGGGTGGTGCTAGAAGACAGATGACTATGGACTGAGTCACATCCTCTTTCAAGTTATGAGGATGGAGCCTGCTTCATTAAGAAGCTGGGGTAGGGTGGGGGTGGAGAGAACATTTACCAACACGGGGACCAGTCAGTGGAATCCCCTTTCTGTTTCGCATATGAGGAACCCTAGAGCAGCCCGTTGAGGCTCTCTAGTTTACTAAAAATCATGGAAGGAGTCTTAAGAAGACTCTTCATAAGTGTTAATAGGGGTTTTACCAGCTTATTTTGGTTGCAGTTTCCAATTTTTAAAAATGTTTAGGTAATCTTTTCCACCTTCCTCCAATCCTAATTCGTGTAGCTCCGTTAGTGTTGAATCAATGCTTTCTCATGTCTCAGTTCTTTGTATATGCATTCTTTTCAGATGTATTAAGCAAACAAAAACCCATCAAAAAAAAAATAAAGACATAACTAGAGAATGGTTGATTTTAGGAAAGAGAGTGTTGTCACTGACAAGGAAGGCTGACCACTGAAAATAATTTATACGGACATTTTGGTAAATATGTTGTTTTAGTTAGAATAATCAGTCTGTCATCAAGGACATAATCATTTGTAGGGACTGAGAAACCCAGTGTCTGAGAACAAGATGCCAAAGAGTGGTGCTTGGCCTGAGAATATGACCTTGTGAGGCCATTCTTGAGAAGCACATGATCATATTGCTATGGGATCTCTCTATTCTTCCTGGTTTTATCTTCTTTATTCTTCCTGGAATTATCTTTATTGTGATGTGA